TCTTTCCCTGTCTTGCTGTGTTAGCTCCAAACCTCCAGAACCCCAGAAACCTCCTATTAGACCTTACCTAGAGAACCGTGGCAGTTATGGCAGCGATGCGGAGGAGGAGTACCGTCGGCAGCTATCAGACCACTCTAAGAAGGGGTATTACGGACAGCCATCCAGATACAGAGACACAGAATTGTAGGCTTGCTCATATGTGCAAACCTCTTTTGAGGTTTCTTCCTTCACAGCCGAAGTGGAGCAGTAGTTAAGTCTTGAAAAGCTGTATTTTTATTAGGGATGGTGTTAGAGGGTACGCTACTCGACTTAGACATATCTATACGCTGGAACTGGAAGAGTTCATTTTTGGGGATATTATTTTGTTAGCTACTAAGAAAAGAAATCACTGTTGCCTGAATGCTGTTGCCTGTTTTATAAGGACCCAATCCTGAAAGTTTGTGCTAATTCTTAGTATTTTCATATTTTAACATAAAAACCCTTTTTTCCCTTTTATTAATGCTGCCTTTTTGGACTGTTCTGCTGTGTTATGAAAGTATGATGTCAGAGATACACTTCTTAATGCAATAGAACTAAATTTGAAAGTGTATTTGAAGAATAGTAAGTGCCTTTAACAAGAACCATGTTAAACTGTTTGTTTTGACATCTGATACTTGGTGCAAAGCCATAACACACTAAAAGGGGATAGACTGGTTTACCTATCTTTTGTTTTTAATCCGTTTTGTGGTAACAATTTCCCATGCATGTTCTTTTTCTAAGTTCATAGATGCGTATGCAATATTTCATAAATACTGACTGTACATAATGAAGGTGCAATTGACTGGGTTGTTGGAAAAGACCAGGATGTGCTTAAACAGATAAAATGATGTAGAAATTCAATCATGTATTAAAATTCACACAGACTGCAAATAATAAAGGATATATTCTAGACAAACCTTGTGTATCTTACCTTTCTTTTAAACAGTATTAGTGTTCTAGAGTCTCAGACTTTCATGAGTATACTTACAGCAGTACACTGTTCAGTTCAGGGTCTCATGTCCTGCTGTTCAAGTAACTGGGAAACATCACTGTAGATGTTGCTTCCCAGTGTTTTGACCATCGTTTTAAAATTTGATGTGATTTAAAAGAAAACTGATGCAGAACTATGGACTTCCTGCAAGAAAATTATCTTTTAGAGTATTAACTCCTGCCTCTGCATT